TTATTCAGCATTTCTAAATGTTTTCTTGGTATCAATAATTATTTTGAGTCATTCAAATACCTTTTATATTCAGTTTTATAATGAACATATTTCGAATGCAAAACGTCATAAAAATATGACCTTTATGTTTAAATAGTTCACTGACTAACTTTAACTGGAAAACGTCTCCTTTCTTCTTTCAAAATTTCTTTTTAGGTATAATGATGATCATTAAAGAATAAGAATTTGAATATCATGGAAAGTCTAGAGGATGTACAAATTGGTTAATTTAGAGATATTGAATGTTCACCATTTACTACATTGAACCAATAATATGTCTAAAATATATCTTAATCCTTGCATACTTTATTTTGTTGTTTGTAGCATGTTGAATTAAACTGCATGAAGAAATGAATGTAAAGAAGAAAAAGGCTTTCTTAAATGCTTCCCTTTTAAGACAAATGTTATCTGCAAAAAATATAATCATATGTCCTTACTTGTGAAATTGGAGTTTTTTTTTCTACTTGATGAGAAGTGTTCAACTGTTCTATCAAATTCATTAAAATAAGGAAAATTTCAAATATGATATAAAACAGAAAAATATTAACAATTGGCAATAACAAAGTCATAGCAATAAGCATTCCGTTATAATTGAAACTAAATCATTTCGGCCATTTGTGTATATTTTTACTGGATAAAAGGTAAAGATGTTGCTTGTGATTTTAATTTCGTAATTTGAAAAACAATGTTATTCATTTTTTCTAAAAATATGTTTACCTATTTTTTCTTCTAGCTGAAGTTATCATGCCTTAAAAAGCTTATCTTTATCTAAACTATGTTAGTATAACCTTTTCATATCAAAAAAATATAAGAAGTCTAATTTTGTTTCAAAGTCACAAAAAGGCCGCATTTAAAAATTTGGCTGAGAACCTTCCGTTATCTGGAAAAAAGTTCATTTGGTGTAATTTATTGCGATAACTTCCTTTTTAAGAAAATGCATACACTTTTCTTCAGGAGACAAAACCCCCCAACAATTAATAACGTCTTTTCCAAAAATCCATGACGTGTCAAGTTTTTTGTACTTTGCGTGGGAAACTTTTGTCCAGTGTCGATTGTTGTGACAGACACACTATTGGCATTGATAATAATTCATCTATAACCCATATCACCTATAACCCGAGCCTCCTGATCAATACGGGGACGAAATTTAAAACTATAGTTTCTCTCGAAGCTTAGTGTTCTCTTGATATTTAAAATCTCCCAAACCCTTCCCCCAGAAACCAATACAAAAGTAAATATTCTTCATTTTAGATGTTACCATGAACGTTAGCAATTTTTGGCCCAGGGAGAACCCCGAACTAAAATCGGAAAAGAAAGCCAATATTTCAGGTAATATGTATTTTTAAATGTTTTATATATATAATATAATATAATATCCATTGTTTTTTATCAAAAATATACTGAAAGAATTAAAATTTCTCGAACAAATTCGCTTTCGTTGATTGAAATTTGATTTCTATACACGATAAATATCAACACTTTATTTCCAAGTTCAAGAAGTGTTCAAATATGGGAGAAAAAGAAATATTTTGTGCATTGTTCATTTCCTTTAATTGTGGTTACGTCCGGAATGTAAAGATAATGGAAAAATCCTTATTCAAGCAAATCTATCTATATCGATTTCAACTCTCATCAAAACAAAAATCTACCATTTTGAATTCATTTAGTCTAGTGTCACTGTAATGACAATGTGCACAATTTGAATACTGTATTAGAAAATTTAATTGCCACATACTTTAGAATTCTAAAAGTAATATACAGACATCTTTGTGTGAATTATGAATGCGAACTTCCTCACCTCTTAAACTGCTGAAAAATGAAAAAAATAAACATTCAATTATATTATGCCTTTGTCTGAATTGAAATGAATCTTGGTATAAACAGAGGCAATTCAATATTTTTTTTTTAAATTCAGAAATTAAAGCCCAAATCATGACATTATCCTGTTAATAATTAAGTTTCTTATAGTAATAAACGTGGTGAGTCAACTGGTTTATCAAATGATCTAACTTCGCCTGCTTCATTCTGATTAAATGGATTAACACTGAACATATTTGAGATAAAATAATCTAAATATTGTTTATGCCAAAAATTAATTTAAACCTGTTTAACATAAACACTGATAGCTATAAAGACAAAAGAAAGATAAGACAAAAAACAAAAACAAAAAAAAAAAACAAAAAAAAAAAAACGTTCAAAAAGTAAATAAAGTTACAGTGCATATTTTCTTTTTGATGTATCAACTGTGTTAAAATTTTAATGACTTAAGAAATATGGAAATTAGATTTGTAAACGAATGTAACGACAAAAATAAACTTTAACAAGGAAGATAAAACACTTTAGACAAGTAATGGCTTTTCCGAAAATTTGTCTGCAGAAATCTATAGAACGTATTATTTGACGATCGATTTTCTTCAATGCATGTAAGGTTTGTATCATAATGAATGATTAAGTTAATAGTGGTATCAGATTCCTTAATTATCCTAGCCTGAAAAGAGATTTGGTGCAAAATTGCCTTTACAGCTTACCGTACATTTTGAGAACAGGGATGAAACTGATTGATAAAGTTTATAGGCTTTGGCTGTGAAAAAAAAAATGTTTTAAAAACACACCAGAATTCAGATGCTAAAATACAATTAAAAGTGATTACCGATTGACAGTACGAACTCTTATAATTTAAGGAAATTCTATACTTCAGAAAGAGGTACATGTAGGCACCTAGCTGTGTATTAGGTGCATGGCAAAACTAACACCAGAAAAACCACACAAATCTTGACCGATGATAAAACCATGGAAACAACAATTTTGTTGAACTTTATGTTTGCATGTTAAAGAATATTCATCCCTATAGATATTGTCCTTTCTGACATACCTGGTATTTTATTTGAAATAGTCATGTTGCAGATTTTATTTGATAAAATAAAATATATCAGAAAGGACAATATACTTTCTAAGAGATTTTTAATCTTTAAATTAACATACCTCAAAAAGTAATAACGTATTGCTTTATCGCTAAAAAATATAATGTGAAATGTACATTTGTCAGTGCAAATATTGCATAAGCTCAAGATTAAACATGCCTTACTATCTTGGTAATAAAAGAATACACCTTTCTTCCAAAGATTGAAAATTCAGAATATATTTGGTTTTATTTATTGTTTTCTATAACTACAACCGAGTGTTAATATGAATTTGAAAATATATATATAAAAGGATATATATATATATATATATATATATATATATATATATATATATATATATATATATATATATATATATATATATATATATATATATATATATATATATATATATATATATATTTGGTTTTAATAATTTTTTTTTTACAACCGCGCGTTACTTGTTTAATCATTAGCGACCAATGCACATCGACATCATTAAAGACTGTCATTAAAAAAACGCCATCAAAGAAAAAATCATTATGGCGAAAGAATAGTAAAACAGGATTCATTAAATAAATCATCGTTAGTTTGAAATATCTCTTTTGGCTTTCATTTTGTTAACTAGATTTATGAGATTGAACAATGTTCATTGTCTCTGTCCGTTTTGAAAGTATAAAGCATCGTTGCAATAAAGATGATCCTTTTCTAACATAAGACCAATGTTCGTAAGAGATAAAAATATTTGAAATCACATTTAATGAAAATAAATTCTTAAATTCTCTTTTGTGTACTTATTTTTGAAAATAAATAGATTAACTTGGGGAAAATATATAGATAAACTTATACCGTACTTGTTTAAAACATTTCTATTTATTGTTTCATTTTTATAAAATATTTTATTTCAAATATTGTTTATTTCATATAACCAATTATTATTAACAACAAATTTAATTGATATGGATACATGTACATAATTTTTGCTAAAATGCATTTTTCACCGTTATTTAATACAGCCAAACATCTTATCTTGAACTCAATGAGACGGAGAAATTAAATATCCGTGATATATCATAGGATTTAACATAAGTAAAATTTTATAGAATGTTGACGAAGGAGCTCATTTCAATATGCGAGAGCATGATGTACGAATGAACAATTTCTTAAACGAGGTAATTATTTGACAAAAAGATGCTGAAACAAAAATATATCAGCAGTTTCATTTAAAGTCTCGTTACGATGACCTTGTTAACCAATACAATTTATCATTAAATCGAATGCTGACTGATATTTTTCTTACGAATTGCTAGGCCATTATATAATGCTGAATTGTCGACGGAATTTCCCGTTATTTCCCGATCGTGACAAGAAACACGCTGCGGATTTGACCGGTCGGTAGGGGATGCTCACTCCTGAATGACACTGATCCCATCTGATGTTCTGAAGGTTCATGTTTGCCCAGCTCCTGATTTGTATTGTTTAATTGACTGTTGAGCTTGAATACTATTCGTTATCTCCATATTTTTTTTTATTGGGAAAGCATATCGCGTCTTCAAAAATCACTTCTATAACCTAGTGGTACTCGAGATACCGAAGTTCGAAAATCAATGTATAAACAAACATTTACCATTGCATTCCCGTTGATATGGGATAATTCGTTTTGTTATAACAATGATTGGACAACATAAGTTTGACACATGCCTGGAATTTATATTTTCGTGCTAGTATAATAAATTATGAGGAATAATTCATATATATCAAGTAAACAGATCAGCACTCTTGTTAATTCTCTAAGCTAGAGCTGTACTGAAATATGACACCACAAAGAAGTGAATGTAGGAATTTTTTTTCTTTCATTATTTTTATTTACACCGGCATTCAGACAATATGTTAATTTTATTAAACCACCACTTGATAAATACCCCCCAAAAGATTTCCACGAACTCATGTAATGATTAACAATTAAACATTGTGATGTCTATGCTTGTAAGAAAAAACCCGGTAGTATACCCGAACAATATCCACACATTATTTATGCCTTGAAAATAGGTCACCTGAATCACTGAATCGTGAAGCTCTGGCAAACGTTTGTTTTAAATTGTTCATGTATCCGCCTTAATACACGTCATGCGATCCAAGGGAATCGATATTTTTATATCATTTTAGCAGTCAGACATTTTTTCCTTGGAAACCGGGATCTCTCAGTGCTTCAGGCTATTAATAAACCCCAGGCAAAGGAAATATATGTTTTCCTCATGTGAGATTGAGCTTAAAAGTTAGGTTAAGATTTTAAATCGACGTTGGGTGTTGCTTGCTGGATATCTCTCTCAAGAAAAAGGTAAGGTATTTTTTCAGTTCGTGGAATTCATTTACTTTCAAACGTTTTCGTAAAAAAAAATACCTTGATGTGAATTCAAATCAACAAAATATGTCAATTAGTTACAATGTATTTGATAGAACCATCGCTTTGTTTATCTTTCAACAAAACCGTTTCATTTTTCTTTGCTCAGCTCTACATAGAGGTAAACATAATTTTTCTGTGCAATAGTAATTTTTTTTCCTAAAATCCCCAAAAGATATACATGTCCATGAAAATTATATATAGTTTTAAACATTGTATGTAGCATTATAAAATTGATTAAACATGTTGTTGCCTATTTATAAAAGTTAAAAATTTGGTTTATTCTTAATTGATTACAGAGAGTTTCGTAGTCAAAGCTCACGGCGGGTGAGACCGGTTAAAAGCGGATATAGACCCCTGATTTAATATTCCTGGAATTTCCAAGAAGTTTCTATTTTATGCCCTTCTCATAAAATTGTAATGTTTATAGACTGTTTTAGATCGATCACGGCAGTCTGTTATCATCTGTTACATGAACCCAACATTTTAGGTACTATTTAGCACAAAAAATGATAAGGGTCATCTTTATTACTGAATATGATGCTTAAATCACTATTATTATATTTTCTTCCTTTTGAAGAAAAATTTGACAAAAGAAATTGGTTACCTTTATTGCTTATTTCAACGGAAGTTGTGATAAAGTTTTTAAAAAAAATGTTACCTACATGTTTAAATACAATATGCACTTAATGAAAGTTAGAAACCAAAAATATATACCATTTTTTAATATATTAATATAATAATTCAAAATGTTTAAAAATTCATATATGTTTGCAAAAATTGGCATATAACATATACATATGACACCATAGATCTCATAACGAGATAAATATGAGGAATATAAATGTTAATACTTATGACAATGCGCATGCTCAATATATATACATCATCTTTTGCAAGTAAACTTCCAACATTTTATTTTCCTGCAAATTTTCTACATAAATAATAAATGAATAAAATCGATTTCGATTTTGAATCTTTTGATGATCTTATGATTTCGTTTCTATTTATTTTTTGTTGATCTTTAAAGATAATCTGCTGCTTTGTAAGTCGTGGTAAAAATTACTTTATTCCTGATAAATGCTTCTATGCAAGCAAATCCGTATGTCAAAAAATAATCAAACAAATAATGAAAATAAATTAAAAGTGAATTTTTTTAAAAAAAAAAGAGGAAAGGGAAGAAAATTAAATAAAAAACCTAAAAACTGAAGCAAAAAAACAAACCAAAAATAAATTACAAAATTAAACATACAAGCAAAACAAAAAATTATATTTTATAAATGACATGGGACAAACGGTAATTAAGTAGTAGTCAAAGACATTTTATTATTACAATTTTCAAGTATGTTCAATTTCTCAAATGTTCAAGTAGTATAAAATCAGCCGAGAATATTCTACATAAATTAAATTAACACATTTATGTAAAGGAACCTGTAATACTTTTATTTTCTCTCAATGAATGAAAAACAAAAACAAAAGGGTGTGTCCCTATGGAAAAAAGAAATATGAGCATTTTATTGTAAGGACAGATGCAATCGGTTCTTTAGAACTTCATTATAAATGTATGAAGTTAAATTGAAAACGGATTGAAGAAAACAGTGATAGACCTTGAAATAACCTTAGTAAAAAATATGACCATTTTTTGATAACAAAATATATCCTTTTTACAAAGCATTATAGTTTTTATGAACTCGGATCTTTGTCAAGCAAGGTATAAAGAGTACCCATGAGATTAGTGCATTCAATATTGAACAAACTTCAGAAACTCGAAAAAAAAACCCTGTTTTTTTTTATTTATGAATGTATTTTTAAAAAAAAATATTTTCAGGAAAAATGTCATGTAGATGTATCTCATGCTGCAAAAAATGCCATACAAAATGGGAGGAATTGTTGCACAAGGCCTTTGGCAAAATCGGAACCTTCGTTTCGAATTATCCAGTTCAAATAATGATTTGCTGTATTATCGTCAACTTGCTATTGCCAATCGGATTGATTAGGATTGAAGTTGAAAATGATGTCGAAAAACTTTATACTCCTATGAATAGCCAAGCGATACAGGACCGAGCAGAAATACGAAACCTTTATGGAGACCCAACAAACGGTAACTTTCGTTCGTATCAACTCACCGATTTTGGATTATACGGCAGCGTGATGATCATCTCAAAACAAGGGACAGATATAAAGACCCAGGCTTATGTGGACGAAATAAATAACATCCACAATATTATAAATACCACCATTTCTGTAACGGATTCCGCCGGAACTGTGTACACCTATAATGACTTAGCAGCAGGGACCGATCCTCTACAGGCGATCTCCGGATCTGTCATTTTATCAAAACCATTTCAGGACAATTTTGTGATAAATAACGTTACGTATCCTTTCTTCGGACAATACACGCTTTCTCCCTTTCTTGCAAAAGCTGTTTCGAAAAACGGAATGTTGAATTCCACGATTGGCGTTAAATTGCAATACTACCTCAAAAGCAATGCATCAATGCGAGAACTATCGAAATCATGGGAAAAAGCTTTTGTATCTAGACTTGAAAATCTACAAACCAATCTTACAGATATTGCTTATACATATTCAGAGTCGCTTGAAACCGAACTGAACGCTAACACAAATAGCGATATAAAATTCTTTTCAGTAACTTTCGCTCTGATGATGACGTATGCCTCGATCGCCTCATTAACCATTAACTGTAACAACGTGGCCAATCGCATGAATTTGGGATTTGCTGGAATTCTTGCACCAGTTTTGGCCATTGCTTCTGCGTTTGGATTTGTCAGTGCTTGTGGAGTTGAATTCACTAATATTGTTGGTGTAATGCCATTCTTGGTTGTTGGTGAGTAGTTGGTCATTTGAATTATAGTTGGCAAGGTTGAAATGTCCTACTTTTTAAAAATTAGTAATCCTTTTATGTGTGTATATTGGAAAAAAAAAATTTAAATTCAATTTTATTAAAAATGTCCTTTATTCTATGTGCCGTTTCTGTGAAATTTGTGGAGATAACGAACAGTATTCGAGCTCAAAAGTTTATAACACATTATAAAATAGGAGCAGAGCAAACACAGACCTCCAAACCATCAGAGGTGGGATCAGGTGCCATGGAGGAGTGAACATCCATATTTCTAGATGAGCTACATGCTTCTGTCTAATGACATGTTTTTTAGGTTTGAAATTCTTCAGTAGTACATTTGTATTATTAGGTATTGGAATTGACGACATGTTTATTCTCATGTCGGGAATGGCGGACGCCCCGCCGCTCACAAAAGTATCCATAAAGGAAAGAATGGAGTTTATGATGAAAAAGAGTGGAGTTGCCATTACTATAACGTCTCTTACCGATTTGTTGGCTTTTGTTATCGGTGCAACCTCTGTTTTCAAAAGTATAAGGAACTTCTGCATTTATACAGGTATTTAAACACAAAAGTTAATTACCATAGGTACAAATTACCCTATTTTTAATGCAAGGCATTTTAAACCATTTTAACAAATTGTCATAGATATGTAATTACTACAAGGAATTACGGGTTTTCAATTTTTGATTTTTTTTTTCATTCGTTTCAGGGGTTTCCGTGTTCTTCTGCTACTTAAATCAGCTTTTCTTTTTGAGTCCAGCTATAAGAATAAATGAACAAAGAACCCTAGAGAAAAGGCATTACTGTTGCTCCTGCATGGTCGTGAAAAGAAGGGAAGATTATGAAAAGGAAGGGAAATCAAAATGTTTTATTAATTTAGTTGCTGGATCAATTCCAGAAACGAGGCTTGATGTTGAAAGTCCCATGGAAAAATACCCCAAAAAATTTATTCTTTTTGTTTTGAATCATACAATAGGGAAAATCATTGTCGTTTTTGTCTTCCTTACTTACCTTGGGGCTTCCATTTATGGCTGTATTAACCTTCAACAAGGTCTACAGCTATTCAATTTAGCCTCAAAAGATTCATATTTTTATAAATACAGTCTTTGGGACGAAAATTATTATACTACCGAACCTATCATTACCATTTGCGTGACAAAAGTCCAAGATTATCACAGGACAGGAACACAGGATTTATTGAACTCGGTCATATCACAGATGAAATCGGACAGTTATATCGACGGTAACGTTGAAATCAATTGGTTGGATAGCTACAACAAATCTGCGGTTTATGACTCTTCATCAGAAGCAAACTTTGTTACTGGCCTTATCACCTTTTTGGGATCACCGGGTGGGCAGTCGTTTACAAACGATTTATTTTTAGATACAACTAACAAGAAAATATTGTCATCCAGGGTTCATTTAAAGGCCCAAAACATGAAAACATCCACGGAACAAGGCGATTTTATGAAGCGCATGCGTGAAATATCGGACAAGGCTAACCTTCCGTGCATAATTTATACCCCAGCTTTTGTCTTTTTTGAACAATACGTGCAAATTCTAGCAAGTACCCTACAGACTGTAGGCATAGCTGTGGCCGTCATGCTTGTTGTTACCTTCATTTTCATGCCAGATATAAGAGTTGTTATTATTGTGTGTATAACCCTAATTAGCATTCTAGCTGGTATATTTGGATTTATGTACTACTGGGACCTCACTTTGAGTTCTATAACCATGATCCATCTGGTCATGAGTGTTGGTTTTTCTGTAGATTTTAGCGTCCACATCTGTCATGCGTTTATTTCAGTTGAGGGGGAAAGTAGAAAAATCATTTTAGAAAACGCTATGGATAGGTCTGGTGGTCCAATCGTGAATGCAGCAATTTCAACACTGTTAGGAATATTTATGCTTGCATTTTCACGAAGTTACATATTTAATTCATTTGGTATTCTGATGTTTCTTGTCATAGGGTTTGGTCTTATACACGCTGCCTTCTTTTTGCCCTTATTTTTATATGCAATAAGTCCTTGCATCCATAATTCGGAAATGACAAAAGTAGAACATTCCTCTGGGGATCTCCAAAGGGATTCCCAAAACACCCGACCAGAAGGAGCCCCTAGACCGTTACCAACTCCTCCAAATTTACGAGAAAAACTCCCCCCTCTGGACGATCACTCACAACAGAAAATAAATAATTATACTCAAGGAAATGAAGAGTCGTATTCTTTACATAGTGGGAAGTTTACGGATATTGGAAATGGGTATAAAATGTATCAGCCCCCCAAAAAACATGAAGATTAGGCATATCTTCGCAAATTAAGAAAAACAAAAGAATATACAGCATTTTGTTACAAATAAACTGTATTAATCTATCATGCCGATTTCAGCATTGGATATACGCGTACTTTGGAATCAAGCATTGATGAAGATTTAAAGTGTAACTTAAGTAAAATAAATACATACAAATTGTATTCTTTTAAAAGCTTGAGGGAAAGGCAAAATCGGGAAACGATTAAGTCCTTTGTAACTAGGACAGTGACTCAGGTAATTTTATATGTGTGTCCTCATCAAATATTCATACGATCATCATAACATTCAAATATATTTCTTGTCATGTTATGTTTTTCAGATTTTAAACATAAAAGAAAATTCAATATTTACATATAAAGGAAATGATCATGAAATGAAATATATCTTGTCAATTTACATAAAAAAAAAAAAAAAAAAATTTGTGTGTGTTATAGTCATATGTTACGATTTAATGTTGCAAGTTTATCTTAAAGATTATTTTCACTTTATGTATACTATTATCATATTATTTATCATATTCTTTTCTTTGTTCATAAAATCTTTCGTGTCCTCGACTCAAATAATACATGGACTTCCCGTAATTACGGACTATTTATATGAATATTTATAATTGTGATATTTTATACAATTAAAATGCACTCATTTTCTTCAATAAAACCATTTAACGCTTGCATATTTTCAGAATTTTATTCGATGACTTTAAATTACCTTGTTATAGATCTGTAACTCTGTGCAAAAAAATGGAGGATCAGATAGCAAAAGTGCCACCCATAAAAACAGTATATTTATTGCACCCTACACGTAGTTTTGAAATACGTTCTTTCGAACTTGAGTAACAATAAATAAAAACTGCCTGAGTATCATAAGTTCGCTGTAGAAACAATGATCTATTATCTTTAATGTCTGTTGTAAACTCTTATGCACCTTTGATGATGTAGTCAATCCGTATATCTGATCATAGGCGAATTTTTTCAGGATATGGTGCATTTAAAGTACATTTATTATGTTTTTCTAGGAATATCTGAATGCACACATCAATCAAACAAATGCTAAAAATTGCACTTTTTAAAGACATTTTCTATCTGTATTTTCGTGGACAAAAGATATGAAAATTGTCATTTTGGATTTCAAGATGCATCGGTTCACATTTCATATTAATTATTAGCTACAATTTTACTCCCGGTTTTGGTCAAGATCTGGCTTTAAAAATAACAGAAAAACGCTATTCAATCTTCTAACTATTTTTACCGATTTAAACGTTTTGTATAAGACAAACAGTAATTCAAAAGTCCTTGATATTTTCCACTGAGAATTAAAACAATAGGGTATCGATTTCTAACCTTGGAGAAAATTATTGATATCGCGGAATGATGCAGAGAAATAGTTTAAAGTCTAGAGAAATAAAGTTCTGCATTGTTTCGTCCCCCTCGTTATATTTGAAGATTGTTCCTTTCAATTAATAATCGGCAATCTTTGGAATACCCAAGACAAATTTCCAAAGACCCTCATTTGTGTACCCTTGCTTACTGTATGTTGCACATCATTTATATATCTTTCTTCATATTTTGATTTAAATCCACATGCCAGAAGATTTGAAAAGGCACAACAAAAAAGAACACCACATTAAACAAGCCCTAACAAAAATACTTCCGTTAACTACTGTTAACTAAGTTAACTACAGTAAACTTTAGATAACTATAATATTAATTTGCTTATATGTATTTGCATCCCCCTTTGTTTAAACAAAAACAATATTGGTTCATTGGCCTGCCTACATTACACTTTCATTTTTGTTAATATATAATCATCTATAGTTCACTTCAAAACAGTTTAATAAACGTTTATTACAAGCTAGACTTAGCAGATGTCAAAGAGTATTCAATCGATTACAAATGAAACAGCCAAGTCAAAGAGGGTTGATATCGTAAAAGAAACTATAATTAAAAGACACAGATGTCATAAAAGGTCAACCAAAAGTGAAAGGTCATTGGCCTGTTGGTATGCAAAACTTGTATCCAGATTGAATCGATTTTCTCTCTTTATCAAAGCGGTGAATGTAGGTCAGTGTGTCATTAGGCAAATGAGACCTTAATTTTTTGAATGAAGTAATAAAAAATTGATCTTTTATGAGTTGTCTTATTCTCTGTTATAATTATATGAAAGATTGAACACAATCCCTTACGCTTTATTTACATTTAGTTCAATGTACGATAAGTAATAAATATTCAAGATATTGACATAGAAAAAATGGATGTCTTTTGATTTTCAATGAAGATGCCCTATTCAAGTTGTACATACATGCTTTAAACATATATTATTACAAGTGTTGAAGTGTAGTATTGGCAAATACAGAAAAATCTTGATAACTGGTGACATCTCTGTATGAAAGAAAAATTCTCGAATGGGACATAAAACAAAATACAGTCAATCTATAATTCTTATACAATTGCTTCATGATAAGGAAGGATATGGAGATAACGAACAGTATTCAATCTCAAAGTCCATCAAACAATACAAAATAAGAGCAGAGCAAACATGGACCCCAAAACATCAGAGGCGGGATCAGGCGCCATGGAGGAGTAAGCATCCCCTGCCGACCGGTCACACCTGCCGTGTGCTCCTTGTCATGATCAGTAATATATCCTACATTTGTCATTTAATTAGCAAAATATAGATATAATAAGTATTGTAATTCTTCAAAATGGGAATACCCGAGTTACTAAAAGCGAATTAAATAAGAAATCTTCCTTTGAAATTTAATGGAGTAAAAATTATTGTTCCTTGCTAGAAAATTCATTCACAAAAATGTTAAAGATTATAGATTAAGAGCGAAGAAACTAGCAAAGTCATACTAAGCAAGCCCGGAAGTAGATATATTAAATTTCAAATGTCAAAATAACCCCGACCAGAATTTATCCTACATACAGGTGAAGTCATTGCCCCTTAGCACGAGAGGGCATTGATTTCTTTTTTTATTGGTGTCACCAGGAAAATTAAAGATTAACTGTCAGTAGGCAATTTCACTTAAAAGAAAATCAATATTTTTCACTTTTTGTTGATTATTTATAAAAAATGACACTCTTTTAAGATAAATTAATATGATTTTAGGTATAATTTTTTTTTTACTGAATTTTAATATGAAACCATTCACCTTCAATTTGTGGTTTCTTAAATAAATATTCTTATTTTTCTTTCAACATCCATGTTATGATCTTTCCAGATCATGACATACCCAGAGATATCACTACGGAATAATATGGTTATAATTGTTTATATCTCAGAGGAAATATGTTGTTCTTCCAACAAATACATCATTTTATTTTTAAAAAGAAAACAAGGGAAAAAAATAAAAGCGCTTAAAGATTCTAAATTAAAAAATGTACTAAGAATTGTGAAGCATGTAGATTGAAAGTATACAAAACATGAACATGTATGGTTCTTAACCTTATTTTGCCCCCATCCCTTTTCCCCTTTTTTGAATGTCATTTTTATTGCTTTAACCCTTTCTCCTATCATCATTTTTTTAAATTTTGCAATCTGTAATCTTTTTTTAAAATTAGTTAATAATACATGGCTTTGTAAAAGTTCAAATATGTACAATTAATTGATACATTTGTATCTTGATCTCAGATGGAGAGAACTAATATAGGCCACTTTTGTCTGCTGTTCAATAAATTTCATTGTATTATTTTTTGTATGTCATGAATAAAAACTATTTAAACTAAACTAAGGATTGAAAAAAGATACTTTGAAATAAAAAACCCTAAACATTAAGAAAATGATATAATTTCCCTTTAATATAATTTTAAAAATATCTATATGAACAATAAAAACGATGTTATTTTTAATAAAACTAAAATATACACGATCAGCGAAAAATACAAATGACGAAGAGTTGTAAAAATCACAAGAAAAGTCAGTCAAGCCCGACAATAGCCAGTTAAACATGAGCATAAAAAAACAGATCAAGTTACAGAATAAAAAAATGTGTCCTTTACAAAAGGGTGGTGCCAGTGACCTGGTTTACAAATTTTTTAACTACGAGCCAATGATATTTTGATCGTGTGTAGTGCGGTAGAATGCAATAAGGCAATGTCCCTCAGAGCTATGGATCTTTAATAATTAAAGGGTTTTTGTGTTCAGGGAGTCTGGACAATGGTTTTATTTTCTAACTTTGACAATTTAAAGCTTTTATTAATATGATTTTTTAATTTGTTAACTTGTGTGAAATTTTGATTACACTCTTCTCTCAATTTTCAAATACCAACACTTTTTGCTAAAAATATTTAAAATAATTTTAATTAAAATTAAAAATAAAATCAAATACGCAAGTGAACAAAATAGAATTTTAAAAATTCATTGAAATCGTTAATTAAGGTTTTGATTACAGTTATCTTAAGTTTTTAGGCTAACATAAACATTTTAATTGAAATACATGAATATCATCTAATTTTCTTTTGAAGAAATAAATTGAAAGTTATCCATAAAACAAAAACAAAATAGATTCAATTATTTCATTCATGGATGCAAAGCTATGTTTCAAATATATCATTTACATTAGAAATATTTGACAGATTAATGAAAATGCCTTTAAAATAGTATGTGAATCAAATCTGAACTGTGAAAGAAACACGTAATTATCCCCCCCTAAAAATGTCATCTGTAAAAAAAGTGTACAATTGACACAGAAGTAGATGTTTCTTAGATAGAAAAAAATTGGCAAGAATTAGTAGAATACTAACTAGGTCATTAAACAAAGTTAATGGCCCTCTATCACGCAAAAAACTCAAGAATGGAAACCAGATACCGTCAACATTATTTCTACCTTCTTCCAATTACGTGGTACTAATTAAAAATTGGGAATTGAGATATTCTGAATTTCCTTATATCTTTCATGTAGGAATGATCAATATTTCCACTACAAACTATGAAGTGAAAATTATTCTTTGTGCAATGATAATTAAAATTAACGTTAAATCGGAAACAAGAATAGTGCTATGAAATGAGAATGGTAATGACTGTGTAGAATAGTTCTTATAACGTGAAGGACAGATTTTGTTTGAAGCTGGTCATCAGAATATACTTTGCAAATTTGTTCACTGATGTAGAATATTTTAATGTTAGTTTTAATAAGAAATGAAATATGTTGCAATGTTAATAGTTCAAGGAGGGGGCATTAAAATTGTAAAATCAACGAATCACTGTGATTAAAAGTAAAAGAAAAAAAATTCTGTAGTAATCTAAATGTAACATCATTTTGTTGAATATACTTTTCTTATAAAGTTGTCAATGAAACAGTTTATCAATTACCATTTAC